ATGCCACAAATGCCTGCAATTTCATCCAATCTTAAGAGTGCTAAGAACTATTTGTTAGAAAATGTTAATTTATTTAAAAGGCAGAAATCCAACATTTTGTGTAACTTTCCTTTGGCTGCTCGGTATATGAAGCACTTAGATAATTTCCACAGCATCTCTCTTGGATATTGAAGAAAAATACTATTGGAAAGTCTCTAGGGAAAAAACTTACCAAAATGCAAGTGCATAATTTATTGCATGTCAGGATTGGAGCTGGGTTTTTTTTTTTAATGTGAGCAACAAATTGCAGAAAGAATCACTTGTTTTCTATGAATGCCGCATTTTAGGAGAATTTAATTTGGCTTAACAGTGTCATTAAAATATATGCATTGTAAATTGCAGTTGTATAAAATGATGTATCTGTCAGATAATGATACTTGAATACTCTCCTGTTGCACTAATAAAAAACATACTAGTAGTTTGCACACTGAAAAAAAAAGTTGCCATATTTTCAAATTGCTATTCTGATTTGTGTTGTTGCCATTAAATAAATATTGAACTCTGTAAATATGGAAAGGAGTGTCTATCAGCCTCAAGATACCGGATTCTGAAGGAATTGCAAAAATTATGTCTTCCATAATAAATATACTAGAAACAAAATAGCTTGAAATAGATCTATACTAGTCTCCCTTTATTTATTTATCAGCACAAATACAACACAAATGTAACAAAAGGCAACAGTAAAAATATTGCAAAAGGAAAGTGATTAATTCATAAAAAGTAATCTTAGGAGTCCTAATTCTAAAACTGATTGTTAGCACTAATGTATGTTCTTATTCAATCAGTGTCAAAATTTATTTCTCTATAGTCAGATATCAAACTACCTCCTTATCCATGAAACTACATCTGTGTAGGCATTCACTATGATTAAAGCAACTACATGATAGAAAATTCTTATATATAAATGAAATTTTCCAATTTCCCCTTCTATCAAAGGAATACATCTAAACTTATCCACTGGCCAGGAGGAAAAAAGTTTTGCTTGTCCTTGTACTATGTGACATATAGAAATCAATTGGTAAAACTTGTCATGACATTGACATAATCATCACCAAGGCAGTGGTGGGTTCCGGATTGCCCGCATGCATCACACTTGCCTGAGACGCTTCCGCAAGCCTCTGCGACGCTCCAGCTGCTCGAAAGAGCATCGCACAGGTGCTGTATGAGCAGTGCGCGGAAGCGCCAAAAGCTTAAAGCATAGGTAAGGAGCGCAGGCGGGTAGGTGGGCCCTCTGGAACATTGTACTAGAACAGTATCCGGTGCTCTGGGGAGGATCCGGTACGCCTGTACTGGGGCATACCACCTGCAACCCACTACTACACCAAGGGATAATTTATTATCAAAGAGACAAAGAAAGGAACCAGTGAAAAAGCTGACATTCTAAATAACCAGAATGCCCAATTCTACCTAGCTAGCTTTTACTTGAATTTGTACTTTATTTCTTTCCTCATCTAATAAGAAAATTATTGTTTTCTTTGGAAACAATTTTCGTTTCAAGCATAATAGGAGTTTAATTCTACTAAAAATGTGTATCAGCACTGTACCACCAAAAACATCTGGAACCTATAGATTAATCAAAGTTTTTACTTAGAGCCAAAGAATAATCAGCAAAATGATTAACACATACACTAAATCCACAATACTTACTACTAAACTTACTTTACATGCAATTTAAATGATATATTTAATGAATCAGAGGTATCTGAGAGTATTTAATGCCCTCCAATTTAATACCATCCAGTCCAATAGTCTCGAATTCAGGAAATTGTATCAAACATTTTTTGGAAGGTAAAAATCATCCAGTGACAGTTTCCCTTTTAGGTGTCCCTGTTTGGCTTTTTGACTATCATTCATTATATTGGATTTATTTGTTGAAAACATAAGATACATTTGGCAAAATGTGGGGTTTTCCATATGTTATTTACCCTACACATCTTCAGGTAACGTATCTGTTTTAAAAATATCAAAATTGCTAATTGTTACTGTTGTTTATGTTTAATCTGGAATACTTCTGTAGTTCTGAATGCTGATGCATTTTTTTTCTCCTTTAGTATGTTACTTCATTTTTCAAGCAGGTATAAATAAGAATGTAGCATTTAAACCTCTGGAACAAATAAAAGATGAAGCAGTGGATATAATTAATAAAGGCCAATTTGTTGGAGAAAGAAATGGTGCATTTTGACCAAAAGGAAAATATAACTTCTTTAGATAGTGATGGGCACCAGAGTTTCTTAAAATTAAATAGAGCAAACCTGAAGAAAAATGACATGCGTTAAGTTTTTATCAGACCCATTTCTACTATTTGCTTTTTAATCTATCACTTTATTCATGATAATGTCCACATTACAGATAAATTTTATAAAGATAAAATTAGAATGGGGGGGGGGAATAATAAATTTCTACTCTTGGCCCTCTGAAGGAAGGACAGTTTAACACGAAAAAGATGAATGGAAACTAGTAGTTCATAGGCTGACAATAATTCTCATTTTGTTTCTCCAGTTCCACATTCTATCTGCAGAAGAGAAATATTATCACCATCCCTACTTCAAATGTGAAATATGCTGGGATGAAATATCTGAGTCCAAAGACTATTGTGAAGTCAAAATATGAATGTATGTATATGTGGATGGGAAGCATATAAACATCTTTAAAATATTGAAATGCTAAAGATGATAAAATAATAGTTATGCCAGTTACTCATTTAAGAAAAAAACAAGTAATCTAGAATTTTGGCCAGAATATGCTGACCACAATGCTTATATTATGCAAAACAAATTCAGTCCACACTGAAAAAATGGTAGAAATCATTCACTCACCACCATTGAAAAGTGGTAGAAACCATTCAAATAAAAGATAGATGAGCTAAACAATGGTGGATAATGTAAGAGACAACAAGCATATCATCTAACACTTACCTGGAGGGGATTTGAGGATGTGAGTGAAGAGGGAAGACCATGACCTGGAGGTAGGTTGGTCTTTGTGGGGGAGCTTGAAGTTTGGTGAGCTGGAACTGGTGGATTTTGATTGTGAGGCTGTTGCTGTGGTGGTGGAAGTGGAGGGTGCTGTTGCTGTTGAGGCAGTTGTGGCTGTGTTGGTTGCTGTTGGGATTGACTAGCTTGTCCCTGTGCTTGCTGGCTAATTTGGCTCTGCTGCTGTTGCTGCTGCTGGAATTGTTGAAGATGCTGGAGTTGCTGGAGTTGGGAATTCAGGGATGAGGTAGCTATAAGTGATTTAAAAAATAAAGCTGGAGTTACAAATGATTCTTCACAAAGTTATAAATGACAATAGCTATTTCTGGAACCTCTACAAATAAAATCTGAAATGGTCAAGGACTGGAAACACTGAAGTAAAGTGGAACAAAGATGGATGGATACTGGTTGAGACCAGATTCAGAAAAATGGTACAGCACTGCACAGAGGAAATGGAATAATTATCCAACAGGATTCCTTTAGCTGTGTTGGACTTCAATTCTCAAATCTTCTAGCCAATGTAGCCAATGGTTTTGCTACAACCTGAATCAGTGATAGGATTCAAATAATTTAATAACTGGTTTTCTGTCCTAATGACCAGGTTGGTAAGCATGGCTGGGTGGTCATGTGATTGAGTGGACATGGCCAACTCAATTTCACTCACATTAAGGGTCATCTCCCTTGTCTGGCCTCCTGTCACCATGCCTGCACCCTCTCCCTCCCCTCTCCCAGCCACTCCTTGTCATGTCCTGTCTCTCCTAGCCTCATCTGGCCTCTCCTCACCGCCAGCTCACCTTGCCTGGCCCGTCACCTTGCTTTCCAGCTGCTCACTAAGGCAAGCCTCACTTGCTTGGAAACAAAGCTCCTCCTTCCCCTTGTGGTAGAGTCAGGGCTAACATTATAAGGGCATTGTAAGTATCTCAAACCATTGGTTACTGACATTTTCCACTTCACATATGGGTGGTAGCATCATATTCAATCTCCAACTCAGTGCAGAAACCATTACAGCTTGTATGACAGATGACCATACAATCTATATTCAAAAAATTCCAATGAAGAAAAACTAGCACATCTGTAACAATTTATTCCACTAACCAAGAGCTTGTAAGTCAAGTAATCTGAAGCCTGAATATATTTCCTTTTATCATTGATTCTGGTTCTGTCCACTGGGTTAATAGAAAATAAATCCCATGCTGTCTTCCAAAAGATAGCCCTTCACATAGCTGAAAACTATTATTATATATTTCTTTGGTTATATCTTCTATATGTTAAACATATCTATAAATTGCTTTTTATATTGCTTGGTTTTTAGATCAATCATCTTTGTGATACTTCTCTTCTAAATTTGCTCCAATTTATAATTGCCCTTTTTATTTTTATTTATGTCCTACTTTTATTATTTTTCCTAATACGAGGCAGAGAACATATCAAAAACACCCTTCTCCTCCTGTTTTCCCTACAACAACATCTATATGAGGTGAGATGGGCTGAGAGAGAGTGACTGGACCAAAGTCATCCAGCTGACCTTCATGGCTAAGGCAAGACTTGAATTCACATGTCTTGTTTTCTAGCCTGGTGCCTTAACCACTAGACCATATTGATTTATAACCAGAACAGTACACAGTATTCCAAGTAGGATTTAATCAAGGAAGAGCGGAGTTGGGATAGTTATTCCGTATGATGTGAACATTAGGTCTTGCAAATGTACCTTAAAGTATCATTTGTCTTTGTAGCATCTATTTAACCCTAGTGGTATATATCAAATTTGTGATAAACAAGATTCAGATTTCTTTCACATAAATTGCTGCAAAGTCTTCCCATCTTATACTTCTGCCTATCCAGATGCAGAAGTTTATGTTTCCCAATTAAGTTCCATCTTATTTATTTCAGCATACTTAAGATTGTCTAGATTTTTTGTTTTTAATTACTTCTCTCCTCTTAAGTATTAACCATCTTCCTTTTATGTCAGTGGTTCTCAACCTTCCTAATGCCGTGACCCTTTAATACAGTTCCTCATGTTGTGGTGACCCCCAACCATAAAATTATTTTCGTTGCTACTCTATAACTGTAATTTTGCTACTGTTATGAATCGTAAATATCTGATATGCAGGATGCATTTTTATTGTTATAAATTGAACATAATTAAAGCATAGTGATTAATCACAAAAATAATATGCAACTATATATTGTGAAATATTTATTTCTAATTACAAATAAATGAAATTTTGTCTGGGAAGTTTAAGAGTAGGCTCCCGGCTCTAAGTGGAAAGAGTGCCTTTCTTTTAAAAAGAAAAAAAAAGGAAAGAAAAAACAAAACGGCCAGCAATTCATTCATTCATTCATTCTTTCTTTCTTTCTTTCTTTCTTTCTTTCT